ATCAAATTTTTAGAAAAGAAAAGAATCGCAGTCGACGCCAAATATTCCACTAATGTAATTTAATTACATCATTTAACTGATATAGAATTTCTCGGCATATCCTCTGAATTGGGTAAATTTAAATTATTCGTCACTTGCTCATACATTCCTCCTTCATCACAGCTTGATATTTATAATCAGCATATATTAGCAATACAATCCATCATTAATAATATGAATGATTCGGACCGAATATTAGTTCTTTTAGTGGCTTTCATTGCCAGAGTCAGAAGCTCTTACTCCATTGACATCTGATATAAATTTAAATCAATTTACTTCTGAAATTATTAGTCGATTTTGTGACATTAGAGTCTAAACGCAACCAGAGAGTCACGAGTCAGCGTCATACTTTTTCGCCGGCGTGAAAACCAAACGAAAGAGTTAGCGTTAGCGGTACAAAATGTCAATTATTTGTTTTCATTTTTCGACAGAAAATTTTACGTTGTGCAAACCAAAATCAATTTAATAAACAATAATGTCAAGGAACTTGGATAATATTATTGAAAAAATTAATTTTCTTCCATTTTATTATTAATTCGTTAAAAAAACGTCCACAATCCTTAAAATAATTGTTTTTTAACAGCACTGCCATATGTTTTGATATAAATTCTCATTGAAATTTGGTAGCACTGTTCATTTTTAACATACAATATGGCAACTCAATTGAGAGCAAGAGAGAAATTTTGAGTATGACGCTGAGCAAAAATGAATAAAATCTTTTCTAGCGTCATGCCACTAGACGCGAACGTCAGCCGTCGCGATTTCCCGTTGCCAATAAGAAACACACGGCAAACGACTTTCGCTGACTCTAGACTCTATGGTTGCGTTTAGACTCTTAATCTCCAACAAATAAATAGTATAGTAAATAACTATAACTATATAACTAAAAAGCTGGGATATATATTCTTATTTGTTGTAATGTTTATTTATTGTAGATCAGAAAACTTCCCTGAAGATGAAATTCAATGAATTTCGAAATATCGGAAAATAATAAATAAATATAAATATTGACCTCAAGCTCGATCAGCCATTTATAATTTATTAAACATTCGAATGGTCGAAAAATCATAAACATAATTTGTAAATAACTATGAGAAAATCCTTGATCTAGTCTTCGTAAATCATACACCATATTTTGAATTAGTTGGAATACCTTCTTTTTGTATTCCTGAAGATAACTACCACTAGTCTTGTGTCGTACGTGAACGACCTAGTTCAATTGAACGAGTCAGTCCACTGAACGAGTGAACGACATAGTTCAATGTTTATTATTGTCGTTCATTGAACGATTTTGTTTACCAAACGTCGTCGGTCACTGAACGACACAAAATTATATTCTACACCTTCAGTGTCGTTCAGGGATGCTCTGGTCGTTCAGGGGTGCGTCAAACAATATCAACTTCATGCAAAATCTCATAAATTAAAAAAGACAGACGGGAAATTAAACCATTGCGGTGATCAAATGAAAATACTCAAGTAGTATTTTAAGCATAGCTAGGGGGACAGTAAATAATTTGAAGCGACATTTAAAAGGATAGCACTCCTTTGCTTTAATTTGCACTTGAGTGCAAACAAGTGTGCAGTTGAATATAACGGAGTGCAGAAAATAGATAGTCAAGTTCTTCGAATGATTGGGAAAGGTCATAATTCTTTGCGGTGGTTTGATGGAACTGACAGCTTAAATGCAATACCAATTAAACTGAGTTACCATTTGACCGATATAAGGCAACTGAACGAGGTGAACCACCTAGTTCAATTTTAAAAAATGACCTAGTTCGTTCGATCACTCTACTGAACGAGATTACCCAAGACTAATTATCACACAACTCTATGTATATCCATGATACATGATTACTTAATTTCTGACAATTCATCAAACTCATTAAAAACTACTTTCAACAATATAAAAAAACGAACTTTTGCAAACTCAACTCACTTATCTCATTTGTAAATTGGACCTCTATATGCTTTTGTAAGAGTCCTATTGATCTCGAGATTGCAATAGATAAATTTTATGTTACTCTAAACAACTTCATTTCTGAATGTGTTCCTACTGTTAGAACTAGAAACTCTGATAGACATCATGGAATACACGTGAATTGCCAAATATAAAAAAACTCAAAAACTAAACTTTTTAGAAAATATAAAAAATCTGGCTCCTCTATAGGCTATGCTAACTATTCTGTGTCTGCTAGATCAAAATATACAATAGAATCCCAAAGGTTGTATAATCTTTACCTTAACAAGATTAAGGATAATTTTAAATCCAATCCAAAGTCATTTTATGAATTTGTTAATCTAAAAAGAAAAGTTTCTTCTAAGCCTACTATTTTAAAATACAATAACCAAGAATTTTCGAAAAACTCCGCAATTGCAGAATGTTTTACAAAATTTTTTGCCACGACTTGTTCTAATACTACTTATCATATTAAAGATCCATATCCTTATGAACTATCAAATATTTATGCCCTTCTTACAAAGTCGAGAGGTCTCTAAAAATCTACGTAGTTTAAAACCTATTAAATGTCCAGGCCTGATGGAATACCCAGCATAATTCTAAAATATTGTTCAGATACATTAGCATTATCTCTAACGTTATTATTTAATTATTCCCTTAGATATGGTTATGTTCCTACTTGTTGGAAGAAGTCGTATATAATACCCTTGCATACATCTGGTAGTCTAACAAATGTCTCAAATTATAGAGGAATTGCTAAATTAAATGCTATTCCAAAATTGTTCGAAAAGTTAATTACATCTGTAATTTCACACAAAATTCAACCCTTGTTAAGTCCATATCAACATGGTTTTCGTAGTGGTCTTTCAACTATTACCAATCTTATACACTTAACTTCTACTGTGATAAAGGGATTTGTTCAGCGTAAACAAACCGATACAATTTATACACACTTTAGTAAAGCTTTTGATAGGGTTAACCATGAACTTTTACTTTATAAATTAAATCATATTGGCTGTAGTATACATTTGGTAAATTGGATTTCATCTTACTTACAAAATAGGACACAACTAGTTTTGTTTGAGGGATGTCTTTCAAAATCGATTAATGTTCCCTCAGGAAGTCACCTAGGCCTGATTCTGTTTCTATTGTTTGTAAATGATTTGCCAAATTCTGTATCACATTCTAAATTGCTAATGTATGCAGATGATGTCAAGTTGTTCATTACCCATCATTCTGAAAAGCAAGCTGATTTACTCCAGCTTTATTTAAATAGCCTATTTCAATGGTGCAGCCTAAATTGTATGGACTTGAATTTAAATAAATGTAAACATATGCTTTTTCTAGAAATTCTTCTTCGATAAGACTTTACTATATTAATGGTTCGGTTTTATCAACTGTAGATTCTTTCGTTGATCTTGGTATTCTAATGGATCCAAAATTAAATTTTAACAATCATGTTATATCTATGGTAAATAAAGCCTATGGTGTCTTAGGATTTATAAAACGGTGGGCCAAAGAATTCTCGGATCCATATACAACGAAACAATTATTTACGTCTCTTGTTAGGCCTATTTTAGAATATGGTTCTGTTGTATGGGGTCCCCAATATGCAATATATTCTGATAAAATCGAATCCGTGCAGAAACAATTATTACTTTTTGCACTGAGAGGATTACATTGGAATAGTAGTTTTGTGTTGCCTACATTGAAAAGTAGACGTATTATGTTGAATAATATGATGGTACTAAAAATATTAAATGGTAACATACCTTCGGATTTCCTAATTTCTTCTATTAGAATAAATGTTCATGTCCGATCTAGTAGACACTATCAACTGCTATATGCAGACTTCCACCGCCCGAATTACTCTATGGGAGATCCTCTTAGTAAAATGTCCATTGACTTTAACTCTGTATACTCTAATGTAGATTTTTGGTTGAGCGTAGAACAAATAAAATCTAATATTGTATTTTTAAATGAGTAGTAAAACTTAATAACAAACTGGCTGTTGAAGTAGATTCTGTAGCTGGTTTTTCTATTCCACTCTCAAATCCCATCATGATACGGATCATGGTGTGTACGCGATCACTACGTAAGGGGAGGTCGCCCATCGGTCGGCATGGGTGGGAATGAGAGGCGTGGGGACGTCGAAAAAAAGGTGTTAGTCGGTTCACCAATATATAATGATCACATATTTAAGTTAATTCAATTTCATGTCAATGTTCAGTCAGTCAGTCCGACTTTACTACTTTCATTACTCGTTAGAAATCACGCAGTAGTGGCTATACAGAACGTTTTTATATCGTTTCTACCAAAATAATGGCATGACATTAATTATATCTGGGTGGTTAGATTAACGTGTTATTATGATAACACGAAGATTTGCTGTTATCCGAAAAGGTTGCCGACTATATTATTATCTAAACAACTGCAGTTTAAACAAACATATTGTTTTGGGCGTTACCGAATGTCCACCAAACACACAGATCTAATTCACGTATATCTATAGCAGATTATATTGTTTCCGATTATAATTAATAATAATAACGTAGTGAAACTAATTCAGAAGCAGGAGTAGGTGATGAGTAAGACAATATAAATGTTTTTTTTAAGGTATATGCGTAGATTTTGAAAATAATTTGTTTCCAAACACTAGCTAAGCCAATAGGTTAGCATTTTCTTGCTAAGACAAATGTGGAAATTCGTCTAGAAAATGTCCTCCCCATATGACATTTATTCATAGGTCCAATCCAATGGTCTAAATAAGTTCGACTGTAATAACATACTCACGTATTTATCCACATGTGTAATCTGATAAAAAATAATCTTCGTGTAATCTTAATTATACATCAATTTATACAACCAAAATGTTGATCATATCATCGTTAAAATTTTTCAGTTAACATTATCCTATTTTTGGGAAACTGTATAAAAAAATCGCAATTTATTTGGATATATAGTTGACCCAAAATTAAGCTAAGATGCACTTAAAATTTACGAAATGTTTAATCAACACAATTATTTGTTAATAATTATCCCCTTCGTGCTTTTCACTTCGGCTAATGGTGCTCGCTACGAATTCGTTGCGGACAATGATCAAGTTTACGAAGAGTGCAGGGACATGCCCGGCACTATGGGTGTTCACGGAGCGTTCGATTTCACAGATTTACATATGGAATACAGAGATGGTTCTATTCATGTTTATGGAAATTCCACGAATATCTATAAAGGCACTCAACCTACAGATATTGTCCAGGTAGGATGGGTCATACATGGATGGGATGAAATAAATAAATTCTCCTCCAGTTATTAGGTGAATTGTATAAATTCCAACAAGGAGACTGGCAGCCAACTCCTTTCACAATTTGGGTTAAGGATTTTTGTGCGGTTCAGTTTAATCCCACTACACCTTGGTATCAATTTTGGGGTCGACATGTACACAAAGCGGATCGCAAATGTGTTAATGTGTATGGGGTAAATTCGATATCAGTTCTATGGTTGGTTTAAAATTATTGTTGATTTTTTACTAATCTATTGCAGCAAACCTACCATCATGATGAGTTTACTGTGGATATAGGATTCGATTTTCCCATTAATATGGAAGGTCGTAGTAAGCTTAAGGTAAGAGCTTGGGCAGTGGACCCAAAAACCATGCAACGACGTCCAAATGAAATATGTTTCCAAATTGTGGGTTCATTTTATAAAGTCAAATAATGTATTAACAAAAATTATATCAAAAATGTGTAAATAACTCACCTGTATACTATATTAAAATTCTAAATAAAGGCGTTAAAAAAATTAAAAGCTGTATCATAGGTCCCATTTTCGGTATTTATAAGATTTCAATCACAATATCTCATTGAAATGGATATAATTTGACATTACGAGTTTCGGGATGGTCTATGATTTTATATAGCTCCCTTATAATGGTACAGCCTAATGGTCGATATTTATAGGGTTATATTTTCGCCGCATTATATGAGGTCAAATAACGCCATATAAAAGTTACGCCTTATTTTTATATCCATATAAACATTTGTGGGGGTAGGTCCACGTTTACCTTTATCTTTATATGCGGTCCACGTCCACTAGAGGATGTTTATCCATTGGATATTTGCACGCTGTCTATCTCTAGAATAGAAGTAGGTTGGTTTTGGAAGTTTGTAATCATGTACACGAAAAGTACTAAGGCACAGTTTTAATTTGGAGGAACGGAAGGAGCTGAAATCTTGAAATTTTAATTAACATTATCGCCAGAATGTAGGATTGGTATATGTAGGGAGTTTTGGAAACTGTTTTACTTATGCGTACGAAAAATACTAATAGTAATAATTTTGAGTGAAATAGGAAAATAAGATTTCTATAGGTTGTATGATAAAGTTTGTTTTGGAAATTCGTAATTATGTGTACTAAATGGTACTAAATTTGGTACAATTTGAATTGTGAGTGAACCGATAGAGCTAAAATCCCGATAGAGCTAACATATGGAGTTAGAATCACTGTTGGGTTGTAGCATTGGGGTATGTAGGAAGTTTCGAAAATTTCTTACTTATGTATTAAAATTTGGAATCTTAAAATAGGAAATAGGATTTCTATTGGATTGAGTAGAGGTGGGTAGGCATGCAAATTTATATTAAGGGGACCCCCCCATTCTCGGGGTCAACATTTTTGTTGATATAATTCGAATGTCTCTACAAAATTTCAAGTGAAAATCTCAAGAACTGTTGAAGATATATCCGATTTATTGTGTCAGCATCAAGTGACGGCTGAAGGACTTCTCAAACTTTAAACGCGTTTTTCTCTAAACATTTTTTTGCGAAGGGCGGGCACGATAACTCAAAAACTAATAACCCAATCGGTTTCAAATTTTGCAACGTTTCTCTGGGAGTGTATAGCTCTCGTATGAACTAGGATAAAGCCAATCGGTGAAGATCTTCCTTATTTTTAACTTGGTTTTTGGTAAAAAATCGGCGATTTTTCAAAAATATTTTATCAAAGGTCCACCATTTGGTTAATTTTAGAGCGAAGTCAATAATCCTAGTTCATACGAGAGCCAGACATGTACTCTTTCTAACACCGTTGGAATTTTCGGATTCCGATGTTCCAGGAATTATCATGCCCGCCATCAAAAATAAGGACTTTTTTTAATTACAAAAAACAACAACAAAATATTTTGGTAAATTATTTTTCTTTTCTTTTAAATCTTCGATATCAAGCGAATAGGGTGAACGTAATCATAGCTTTGCACATACTAACATTTTTATCAAACCTAGTTCAAGTACGAAGATGGAATCCAACGGCCCACCGCCACAAAATGTAAAAAATTAAATTTCATATGAAGCTAATACCCGAGACTATATTAAATCCGAAGATGGTACCCATCGTCCCACACCTTCTGTTACCTCCCAACAAAAAAGTCACAACTTTTTAACATTTCTAAATTCCATACGCAGTGAATTGAGTATTCGACTGTAGGGCGACTTTTCCCGTGAACAAATAATTTATTTGAAAAACTGTTCCGTAGACCTCTGTACACCAAAATAGCATACAAAATAAGGGCATGACTTGAATTAATGTCAGAAGGTTAGACTGGCGTGCTATTGCGATAACGTGAAGAAGCTGTTTTATCTTACAGTCAGGGATGGTCCGTTTGACGCATTTTTAGTTTTCGACTGTCAAAAAGTTGTAAACGTCGAAAGCGTCCTATACCTGTATAAAATATTATAAATGTAGTAAACGTCATTTATTTCCATATTACCACAATATACAGTTATTTTCAAAAATATATGTTATTTTTACATATATCTGACCATTCCTTACTCGAAATGATAAAAATATTCTAATTTTTTTTTAGAAAAAAATTTTGAAATTTTATATGATTTTAGGAAAGCATGAGTAATTTCCAAATTTATTAATGGAAATAGCTACTTTGCCAAAAACCTAATGGTTTTGACTGGGTTTCCGACATTTCTGACGTATGTACTATACGTCGGAAATGTATGTCATTTACGTCACTGTTTCTGACCGACCATCTCTGCTTACAGTTCACGGATATGCACAGCAGGCTGTACTGTTTTTTATTGCAGAAGGCAGTGGAACAAATTCAGGAGCCACATAAAATTTTTTCAAACACTAGCAAAGCCACAGTCTTGATTTTTTCAAATATTTCTTCAACGATTAGCAGAGCCACATATTTAGAATTTCTTACCAAAAACTCACATCTCTATTGCGTACTAATTCTAAAGTCGCAATCTGCCACGTTTTAGAGAAGTTCGACTGTAATGACTATGTATGAATTTAGCCAGCCTAATAATCTGATCATAAATAATCTTCGTGTAATCTTAATTATACGTCAATTTATCCCGACATAATCTATACCATAGCATTGTTAACATAGTCCAACTAACTTTATTCATGTTTTTGGTAAACTATATAAAAACACCCGGTTTAACTCAGTCAGAAATATAGTTGTCACAAATTACCATTGTGGAACAGTTAACATTTCCACAATGTCCACTCGACGCAATTATTTGCTAGTAATTGTAGAAATCATGTTTCTGACTTCGGCAACCGGTGAGCGCTATGAATTGATTTTGGAAAATGATCAAATATTCGAGGAGTGCAGTGACAAGCCTGGTACTAACGGTGTTCTAAGAGCATTCGATTTAACAGAGTTACACATGGAATACAGAGATGGTTATATAGATGTTTACGGAAATACCTCCAACGCATGGAACGGTGTTCAACCGACAGATATTGTCCAGGTAGGTTATGGCAAACACGAATGCAATGGATAGGGTGAAATAAGTAAATTCACCTCCAGTTTGTAGGTGAATTGTATAAATTCCAGCGGGGAGACTGGCAGCCAACACCTTTCTTAATGTGGGTAAATGATTTTTGTGCAGTTCAATATAATCCCACTTCAATTTGTTACCAATACTGGACTCGTTATATACACGAAGAGGATCGTAAATGTGTTAATGTCTATGGGGTAAATTTCACATCGCTTTTATAGCTATTTATTATATAGTTGAATTATTTTACTTATAGCAAACCTACCATTACGATAACTTCACGGTGGATACTGTTTTCGATGTACCAGCTAATGTGGAGGGTCGTAGTAAACTAACGGCACGGGTATGGGTATTGGATCCAAAAACCATGCAGCGACGTCCAAATGAAGTATGTGTACAAATTTTGGGATCATTTTATAAAGTCTAATAATTATTAAAATAATATCAAACAATAATCAAAATTTGAAGTGAATGTACAATAAGAACACTTTTAATCTGTATTCTTTATCCGAAATTTGGAAGTATTTATTTTTGGCAAACGATGTATTAAAAGTTATTTAGCATGGATTAAAAGTTTGAAGGTCATGTCGGTTTAGATTTAGATACAGCTCCCATATATATTTTCGTCCGATTTAATGTAAATTGTGTACTGAAGACCCAAAGTCCGATTGGCACAAAATTTTGTATAATTATTTAAAGTTAATATAAATTAATCTCTGGAAAGTTTCGTTGAAATCAGTTCAGATTTAGATATAGTTCCCACCGATTTTAAGTAAATGGTGCACTATTTACTAATGTTTGTCAAGGGCTAATTCCCTTTAAAAACAATATTTTAAAACCATTTTTACTATTTTTTTAACCCTTTCAGTGTCAAAAAAAAAAAAAAAAAAAAAAATTGTCGGAATAAAAATCTAAAATGTTGTACTTAAAATCATATAAAGGCATAGAGTTTAGAAAAAAAACAATTTTCATTTTAACCCTCGGACAGTTTCAGCAAAAACAAAAACATCAATGTTAACGGTACATAGTTTAACCGAAAAATCGCAAAGAAATAGAGAATTTTTAAATGTCGAATATACTCGACAAAAACACTGAAAGGGTTAATAGGTTGGCCACCTAAAAAGAAACGCAGATAACTTTTAGGACCGCAAGCCTCAACATTGAGTGTTCGATTTGATTGATCGTTTGTACATCGCAATATTTTTACCAACTATATTAAACTATATTAAATCAGAAGATGCGGCCTATAGCGCAACTCCTCCTGGCAAAATATGTATATAACTTTAGGAAAATCCATCTTGGCTCTAGACAGTGATTCTATACACATCTGTACGCCAAAATAGAATACAAAATAATGGCATGACTTGAATTAAGGCCGGAAGGCTAGACCAGCGTGCTATTGAGATAACGTGAAGAATCTATTTTATCTTTATATTTTAGCAAATACGTATAGGTTCGACATTTACATTTTCCAAACTACCTCCATACCATCACCACCACTAAATTTAGTACCAGTTGGTAACAAAAACCCTTGGTACGAGTCTCTAAAGTTTTTTTCATAGCTCAATACTACACTTTAACAGTAATCTAAATTCCAAATCTCATGATTCAACTAAATCCAAATTTTTCCAAAGTTAATACTTTTCATATTCATAAGTAAGAATTTCTAAAACTACATCAATCCTACACTCTAACAGTAACCTTAATTCCACCAAAGTCCAAATTGTACCAAATTTAGTACTTTTCGTACAAATGTCCAAATATACCTCAATCCTACTTTCAAATAGTAATCGTAAATCCAAATTTAAGAATTCCGGCGCTGTCAGCTCATTAAAACCCAAATTATACGACATTTGGTACCATTCTGTGCTTTTCGTACCCATATTCCAAACATATCTCAATATTCCAAACCTGCTTTAA